GTGTATAGCTGATTAATTACATTTCAATTCAATCATGGATAGCGAAGGATAATGTCCGTGAGAAAACTCCCATGCCACTCGTAGATGCAAGGGGACGATACGTGTTTGAAGCTGAAATTCAAATTTCTTAATGTTTTAATTAGTTTACATAACTGATTCAGTTATAATGTAAGAGTAACCAAGAGACTTGACAAGTACAGCTGTAGTTAGGTTTAATAGTCGATTAACGCCAACCTGTTTTTAAAGTTAAGTTTAATAGTTAAATGATTATCGCCAACCTGTTTTTAAACCATGTAGGTACTAAATATTACTGTTTTATACATCTGATATAAATCATTTTGCATCTCATATTTATAAAAGGACTACAAATACAATACCATATAATTTTTAGAGAAATTCACTTGATATTTTAAATAGCCGAAAATAAAAACTTTTTTACATAAAAAGCAGTGTTTTAAAATATTCCACAAAATTTTCAATAAGTTCTGGCTTTCTTGTATGTAATTTGATGTATTTTGGTAATAAAAGTTTGTTTGAAAGTTTATAGAGTGTTAATTTTGTTGTTTTGGTAGACTTTTTGAGATTTTGTTTACATGGGACTAATTTGTAAGTCCGTGACATTTACAGATGTAATGTCCGTGACACTACATAATCCATATTATATAATGAAAATATTTTACATTTTCTATTTTTCACTCCTGATAAAGTTAGAACAACTATCTGTTTATTTGATTTAGGAAGGAAATTCTGATATATGCAAAAACAGAACAGGAATTTTAATTTTCCTATATACCATCAAAAGTTATGTCGCAATCCTGTAATGTCCGTGACACGTACATTTTGCATTCTGACATACACACCGTAATTTTTTTTTTTAATTTTGTGTTATATTCCTACAGTTGAGAGTGAATGGGAGTATAAAAACCAAAATTTGACTTGTTTTCATTGTGTAATCTATAAAATATAGCTCTTTATATTTTCAAATTTGTAATGTCCGTGACAAAAAATACTGTGGAATGCCCAATGATATGGTAATACATTTATAAAGCACCTAATGCAGAAAATGGCCTGAAAGAGATGATGATGTAAAATTATTATAACAGAAGTGACTTATGAAGCGGTAAGTCTTTAGGATCTGTATTGACCAACAGTCAATTGTTGGTGAATTGGGTATTATAATATCTGATCCTTTGACTGCAGTTGGTATGAATATTTCAACATCATCACAGTTACCAAGTTTCTTGTTCCTGTTTCATTTCATCAATACAAAAGTGAAGGGAAAAAAAAACACAAAAAAAACCCCCCAATATTTGCGTTAAAAATGTACAAATCTAAATTACAATAATGAAAGGCATTTTAAATTTATGAAGATATACTGTACGTCTGCTTTCAAATTAAAAACATCCCTCTAATTAAACACCACTTTTCTGTGGTCCCATATTAACAAGTGTCTTTATTATCCTAATTAGAGACCAAAGCTGCTGGAGGGAGACCTGTAATTAAATTATGATATTATATGAAAAAATATTTTGCATACTTAATGTATAAGAATGCAAGGGCTGTAGTTGTCCTTCCTGTTCTTCATCCTGACCATCATGATTCCTTTTTTTATCTTCTAAAGCTATTCGCTGACGTCCAAACTACAAGAATAAGATGAAATTAAGAAATATTATTACCAGTCAGCTGTGATATTTAATTAATACATTACCTGTATTTGAAATTGACAGTGGAATTCAGAAATGAAACCACCCTCCTGGATGCTCTGAGACTGAGCAGAGACATATTATTATTAATCATGGCCCAGGCCTAGCCTATTTAAAATAATAATAAAATAATAAATGTGATTTCATTATCATACTTCTTTAGTTTGAGCTTCTTGATCTTGGTGATCTGCACTCACTCTTTTTGAATTTTCAGAACATTTAAACTTTTGGATTAGGCCTAGGTAGGCTAGGGCCTAGCTTAGCCATGGCTAGGCTAGCCCTCTTAAACTATCGGCGCTAATGCATTTTCGCACCTAACTTTTAATTCCTAATTTTTTTACCTCAGTGTTCTTCTCACAGTTGCAACATATAATTATAAACATTTTTACATGCATCCACCGATCACAATGTACTTTTTCCAAGAAAAAAAACCCTGTACAAATACAGGTTAATACGGCGTTTCCACGCTTGCTAGCACGAGGAGCTGTACTGTTTTGCAATCAGGTAGAAAATTGCCAGAATGTTCGAGTCAATTCTTATATTTTGAAACAATTAAAATTTGAATCGTAATTTTCCAGTGAAACATCCGACAAAATAAGGCTTCATGAAGTACCATCTTTTTGTTTAACTTTCTTGTCATAATCGAGGTTCATTGAATCACTTTTTAGCATTGGTAGTTGTTCTGCTGGATTATACCGTTAAATAAGTCTAGGCCTAGGGGCCAGGCCCAGTGGCGGCTCTAGGAAATAACTTATTGGGGGGGGGGGGTAGTGGCTAAGTATTTATGGGTGTAACTATAGTGCGCTGCGTTATCTGAGGGCTGAAGGCCGAGCCGGGGGTGGGTATGGGAGGGGATGTCCCCTCTTCCCAAAACAAGATTTAAAAAAAAATTGGGACTTCTAGATGGCTGGAAATGGCTGGGATGGGAAAACTAGGCCTATCATTGGTTTTCTTTTGATCCGACTGCAAGCCCGATGAGCTTTGGCAGATGGGGGGGGGGGCTTGACCAAACCGAAGCCCCCCTGCCCCCCACTGGCACCGCCACTGGCCAGGCCCTATTTGTATGTCTGTGCAAGGAGGTATTTTATACCTCCTTGGTCTGTGTATACATTTGGATCATTTACTAATTTTAAAGTAATTACTGTACATAACATGTGAATTTCATGTGGTGTGCCCTACATCATAATCAAACAACACCACCATATAATATAACGCATAACTAAAATGACATACAAACGCAAATAATTAAGTTTTCATAAATGATTAAATTACATAAAACTTTGCACTGTAAACTCGGTCATTCTGGCAATTTCCTACTGATTGCAAATGGCTGCAGCTCTCGTCGTGCCAGCAAGCACAGGTTTGCTGTCCTGTACTGTACTTATTTGTTGAAAAAGTACTTTGTGGGTGGTTGAATCATGTAAAAATGTTTTATAATTATATGTCGTGACTGTGAGAAGAACACTGAGGTAAAAAAATTAAGTTTAAAAGTTAGGTGCCAAGGTGCATAGCGCCAAACTAGAGGCCTAGCAACCCCCCCCCCCCCCCCCCCCCCCCCCCCCCCTAGGCCTTAGTACTTATTCTTTAGACCTATGCAGAGTATTTTATTGTAGTAAAAGTAGGCCCAAGCATATAAATATATATTAGCAGGTTAGGCCTAGCCTTAGACAAAGCCTATATCGTAGGCCGCCAGGCCGTTTGTAGTTGTTCGCGAGACTGGATAAACCACGACCAAGCGGCCTTTCTTTCGGTATTCTTTCTTTCTATCTAGGTAGCCTAGGCCTAGCCAGGCTTCGCTTTACTGTACTTTCAATACCTCAAATAGCTGTAGGAGAAACGTCTTGTAAATTTTCCTTAGGCCAATAGAGACTCCAAAACATGCTGGGATAATAATTAAACCTAATATAAGAAGTAATGGTGACAAATAAAATCCCAAAAGAGTTAGAAAGAGTTCCATCTCCTTCGCACTCAGCAGCACTGTGTCGCCGTCGAGTCGCCAAACAGATGACTAAAAAGTATGGTCGGTCTAGCGTGACGAATTTAATACATATTCATGATTTTCAAATGTCAAGTCAAAAGAAAGAGGGCAAGCGCGAAAGTTTTTGAAAATGTCTTCTTCGTCCTCGGAAAGTGGTTATGATAGGACAACAAATATTTACACATGGCTGCTCGAATTTATGTGCTATGAACTTCACAATGAATTCTTGGAATCGAGCACAGTGGACAGCACATCTGATAGAGACTATTTGAAAGGTGAAGTCCTTATTTATAGCCTATGTTATAAGCCTAGGCTAGGCTACTTACTTGTCTATAATAAGAAGAGGCATAGCTAGGCAAAGGTCTAGACTAGGCCTAGCTGCTTAGCCTAGTAGAGGAGGCCTAGGCCCTAGCACTAGCTGGTAGTAATCCTAGCTAAAGAGGGCTGACAAGCGCCCTCACATGGATATGCTCCTAGCTATATAGGCCTAGTAGGCCTATATTATACTATATCAATTTGGACTCTATCAAGGCCCCTAGGCCTATATGAGATGTTAAATTCTAAACATTCAGTTTTTTTTCAAGGGGCCTAGGCCTACCTACTAGGTACGTGACTATCAGCCGTTTAGAGCGTGATACCATCACCACTATCATTTTCTGCAGCAACTCGACTGTCTGTACAGCCCTCTATTGTTTTGGCAGCAAACCAAAGGTCGTATTTATTTTTTCCCTTGACCCGAAAATACTGATGACGTAGGCTTAGTTTACATTTTCCTCTTTAACCTTGTCATCAAACCAATTTTTCCGACTTCGTGAAGTGAGTGAATTTATTTCCCAAGGTTTTGGTTGTAAAAAACATGCAATTATTTCATAGGGCCTGTTTATGCTGCCAAAAAAGTACCATATATACATATATATATATAGGCCTATACGGTATTTTTAAAATATGGATTTTTTTTTGCAACAGAAACGGGACTCATAAAAATATACCGTATTTTTATACCGTATTTTCCCCCACTATTTTTGTGGAATTATTCCGGTATTTTGCAAAAGATACCGTATTTTTTAAACCCCATTTCTGCTGCCAATAAAAATACCGTATTTTGTGCCGACCCCTGACATGAGGTCAAGAGCCAGAGCATAATGCGGGTTGTTTTGATTTTTTTGTCGTGGAAAAGCGAAAAATAATGCGAAATGTGGACTGAAAATACTAACAATATTAGCCAATACTAAATAACACCAATAATTTCTAGGCTGTAGCAGAAATTGTGGTGTAAAACTTCCTTCGTTGCAACTTTTAATTATAGATAAAATAGATGAAACTAAAAGTACAATACAATGTTCTTTAAGAGAAACCATGTTTATCGCGAGCAGAAATAAAACCATAGAGATATAATAAGAATATATAGCTCTATGAAAAAAAACTCACTACACAGGTCAATCCAAACTTCCATCTCACAAAAAGCATTTTTGGTAAAAGAGGACTTTTTAAACAAGACCACCCAAGAAGTACTTTTAGCAGAAACGAGACGCTAAATTTCAGATACCTTATTTTATACGGTATATTTTATACTGTATTTTTAGGAAAAGCGGCATAAACTGGCCCATAGAAGTTTATTTTGTTCTGAAACCAGTTTATTGTGTTAGTTTTATTCATCCACAACCGGGTGTGATATTTAGTTGTTTTGAACATCGAAACGTTGTTTTTGACCGAAAATAAACATTTGTTTGTGAATGGAAATTCCCCAAATCTAACTGTTTGTGTGGTGTAGACTGACGTCAATACATGTCTAATCTTGCTGCAATCACATGCAGCAATTAGTCACATTAATTATTTAAATTATTATTTAATTAATAACTGATTGAATTTTAATGAGTTTCACAATTCTTTTTTTGTCCTTGTTGCATACTTTCAAATTCTTTATAAATATTTTATTTATAATGTCTAAAAGCAAAGAAGATAAAGCAGTTTTTGATCATTTTTCAAGAAAAGGTCACATACTTTTCTATTGTTTACATTGGTTTTGAAGGACCAAAATTAGGCATAATTAATCATTTCTTAAATTCGGTAACTTTATTAATATTTGAATGAGGACAATGATCTTGGTATCAATATAATGCTACATTAATGCCCTTTCTGGCTGAGAAGGAATTCCTTGCATTTGAAAGTTTTTGTCACGTACCTATTACCTAGCCTATAAACATCATATACCCAGGAGGATCAGATTACAGAAGACTCTTGGGAAACAAGTAAACAAGTAAGGCCAGCTACCAAGGGCCTGTCTAGGGCTAGGGCCTACTACTAGCTAGCCAAGGCCTATATTAGGCCTAGGCCAGTCCTAGCCCTACAGCAAAAATGCCCTCCAACCATTTGTATACATTAAAAAATTTGTTAATCAATCTTATTTCATTGAAGGTTTTATCCAGCGTTTAGCTCCTAAGATACCATTGCCATCCATAAAGATGTGTATGGTCCAGTACTTACACCTATTGGTTCGGTTGGTGGATGGTCCTTCAATTTCATTGGAGTACACATCTGAACAATGCAGTGATCAAGGAGGTGAAAACAGTCCGATTACGCCATTGGAAGATGCTATTCAGATACTTGATAAAATAGAATTTTATGATAAAAACAGTCACATTCCAAAGAATGACATAAATGAGTTCAAGGAGCTGTTGCGCACCGAGGTATAGTGAGAAAAAATATATTTTATGTTGTATGCCCATATATAGTCATGATGTGTCATGATGTGATGTCATCATGACCATATTTAGACATGTTACATGTTTCTGTTACTGTAAAATTTGATAGAGTCTGTACAGGGCTTTAGTTATCTTGGATAACAACTGTCTTATAATAAGTTACCCATATATTGGCATGATGTCATCCATGTAAAACAAGTTCTCATAATCTCGAAAGCTCTGATGAGGGCAGTATAATACAGTGCACCCTCCAATTCGAGACCCCTGTAATCCCGAAACCCCTTTAATTCGAGACCACTTTTCCAAAAACCCAAATAACAATCTTCAACCTTTTAACACAAAGCTAGCCCTCTAATTGGAGACCAACCCCGAGACCACCCCAAATTTTCAGGCCCCAAAGGTGGTCTCTAATTGGAGGGGGAACTGTAGAGGTAGTAGCACTATTAATCAGCAAAGTGTTTATATAGCTCCTCATGAGGGCAGTATAATAGAGGCAGTAGAGCTAAAAAAGATCTTTTAATCAATCAGCCTCATGAGGCAGTATAATAGAGGCAGTAGAGCTAAAAATGTCTATTAATCAATCAGCCTCATAAGGGCAGTATAATAGAGGCAGTAGATCTAAAACAGATCTATTAATCTATCAGCCTTATGAGGGCAGTTTAATAGAGGCAGTAGAGCTAAAAAAGATCTATTAATCAATCAGCCTTGTGAGGGCAGTTTAATAGAGGCAGTAGATCTAAAAAAGATCTATTAATCCATCAGCCTCATGAGGGCAGTTTAATAGAGGCAGTAGAGCTAAAAAGGTCTATTAATCAATCAGTCAAGTGTTTCTAGAGTTCTTCATCAGAACCAAAAATAGATATTGTCATAAGTTGATAGTGTTGAGAGAGCTTTAACTGCTTTGTTTTCTCAGGCTGTTTTTGTTTGTTGTCGTGCTAATAATTTTGAAAAAGGCAAGCAAGTTTTAGAACGTCAATGGCCAGAAGATTCCATTGAAACAGAAATTGATAAAGTGAGTTTTTAATATCTTTTATAGCCTTATCATTTTCTTTATTCGCCTTTTATCATCACTATCACTTCTTTTCTTTCTCCTTTTGTCCCCTAATGCATTATTTTTTTTATCCCTCCCTTTATCTCCTCCTTATTCTCTTTATTTCCTGCTTTATTTTATTCTTATTTTTGATTTTCTCCTTTATTGTGCTAATTATTATTTGATAGAGTGAGTTTCTAGTTTTTGTTTTATAACCCCTAATGCATTTTTTCTTTTATCCCTTTTTTATTTCCTCCTTTATTTTTTTCTTTATTGTGTAAAAATTAATGATTTTCCCTTAACATTACTTAATTTTGATTGGTGCTTGTAATGTTGATATAACTCAAGATTTATTATATATATTTTTCAAAATGTAGATGACCAAGGATAAACTATTGGAAATTGTGGATTCAAAGAGGTGTAAACATGTTGAGATTAGAAAGAGTTCCTATGCAGATTTTATAGCCAAGACCCATCACTACCTTCAAGCTATCTACTCCATATTTTCAGAGCCGTTCCTGGTCGCTGTAAGTGCCACATTAGTATAAATACGCATACCACTCTACTATTAGCTTGGTTACCTCTTGTCAAGAATGGCAGCACACAATCCAAAACAAAACTGACTCTGTTAAGAGCCTGTGAATGTTGTGGTTAGGTTATGTCTGAAGCTAATTTTAGCACAACATTGAAGCGGGAACCAGTCAACTTTCCCCCTAGCAAACTCACACCTTACAAACATTCACTCTATAAACTCTCCCCCTGACTATGCAAATGTACCCCAAAACACCTCCCCCCCACTAACAAACTCTCCCCCCACCCCCAAGTCAGTGCCATGTGGAAGTATTGATAATGATGCAGAACAAGAAAGTCATTTGTTAGGGGGAAAGTTCGTAAGTGGGTGAGTTTGTTAGTGGGTGAGTTTGTTAGTGGGTGAGTTTGTTTGGGGGCGTGTTTGATAAGGAGCAAGTTTTCAGGTGGAGACTGTATAGTCAGGGGTGAGTTTGGGAAGGGAGGATTTGTAAAGGGACGAGTTTGTAGGGGGAAAGATTGCAAATATATTGAATTTATTGCCAGGGTTATTTCGTCCTGACTTACCGTATACCAAGGCTTTTCTCCCTGACCCTGTTGACCTTCATTGGAATTTATATACACTGTCAGGCTGTTTAACTCCCAAGTATGGTTCCACCCCTGACTTTATTATATATTCTGACTGTTATACAAACCTGAGATAAATTACACTGGAGAGCCTATGCTTTTACAGTGAAGTGTAAATAGAATAATTCTAGTTTGATCAGTTGAATTTCATTGTTTTTTTGTAGGCTGATAGGAAATTTAAAGGAATCTTTAATAAAAGGAGAAGGGATGAGACTGAAGCGGATTTGACAATGGAATCTGTGGAAGATGTACCCCCAACACCAAACAGAAGTGCCCAAAAGATGCCCAGTGGGAGGCCCAGAAAGGAATTGAGAAGTAGCCCAAGAAATGAACAGCCCAAAGAGAATGAAAATTGCAATCAAAAGTGAGTTATATTTATGGTCTTTGTTTTGTAGAATATTTCACATTATTTCATAATTTATTATTCGTATAACTGGTAAGTAAAAATCCTAAAACACTATAAGTTAAATCAATAAGTTGCTCATTTATATTTGAAATGTTTAATAAAAGTAGAATGGATGAAAATGAAGGGGATTTGACAGTGGAATCTGCGGAAGATGTACCCCCAACACCAAACAAAAGTGCCCAAAAGATGCCCGGTGGGAGGCCCAGAGGGAGGCCCAGAAGGAAATTGAGAAGTAGTCCAAGAAATGAACAGTCCAATGAGAATGAAAATTGCAATCAAAAGTGAGTCATATTGATGGTCTTTGTTTTGTAGAATATTTCACATTATTTCATAATTTATTATTCGTATAACTGGTAAGTAAAAATCCTAAAACACTATAAGTTAAATCAATAAGTGGCTCATTTATATTTGAAATGTTTAATAAAAGGAGAATGGATGAAAATGAAGGGGATTTGACAGTGGAATCTGCAGAAGATGTACCCCCAACACCAAACAAAAGTGCCCAAAAGATGCCCGGTGGGAGTCCCAGAAAGAAATTGAGAAGTAGCCCAAGAAATGAACACCCCAAAGAGAATGAAAAATGCAATCAAAAGTGAGTCATATTGATGGTCTTTGTTTTGTAGAATATTTCACATTTCATAATTTATTATTCGTATAACTGGTAAGTAAAAATCCTAAAACACTATAAGTTAAATCAATAGGTTGCTCATTTATATTTGAAATGTTTAATAAAAGGAGAATGGATGAAAATGAAGGGGATTTGACAGTGGATTCTGCGGAAGATGTACCCCCATCACCAAACAAAAGTGCCCAAAACACACCCAGAAAGACGCCCAGTGGGAGGCCCAAAGGGAGACCCAGAAAGAATTTGAGAAGTCCAAGAAATGAACAGCCCAAAGAAAATGAAAAATGCAATCAAAAGTGAGTCATATTTATGGTCTTGGTTTGTGTTGATATTTCACAGTATTTCATAATTTATTGTTTGTATAACTGGTAAGTAAAAATCCTAAAACACTCTAAGTTAAATCAATAAATTGCTCATTTACATTTAACAATATATTTTAAGCTAGAATATGTTAGTATAATTTATGTCTGTTAATTTGAATACAATATATACCGTATGGTACATATGCAATAAGGTATATAAAACGGAAATGCCAACACATTTCACCGCCATTCACAAATAGCAACTTCTTTTCTTTATAACCACTGGGTAAGATGGTTCAATTGCTAATGCCACACTCCCATTTCCCCATGATAATTTATAATTAACAATGATACACAAATAATAATTGTTATTATTTATTTTATGATTTTGGGGAGTCCATTTCTTATTCAAGATTGAGAAACATTTTCTTTTTCAATTAAATTTTAAAAATGAAAGGTGTTGTAATGACACTGCGTCCGACGGTTATCAGCCGACGCGATTCTACAGAGAAAGTAGCGCCACAACGCATGTGCAACGGATTATTTTTAATATACGATATGCTCAGACTGCAACCGTCAATCAGCAGACGTGTCGCGTCGTCTAGCGCTCACGGGAGCGCAGTTGGATTTGTCGTACGAGGCAGTGAGTGCCCAGCATTAAATACAATGCTTGCAAGCAGTTCACATAATAGTGAGCTTTCGATTTGTGCAACGACACAACACTAGAACGGAATCATTCATGTGTGACCGTCCTACCTGGCATCCTACGTTCTCTGCATACGTAGATTTGGCCAAATGGCGTTGGCCAAATGGCGTTCCCTATCTACTCGACGAGGTGATCTTAACATTCTCGCATGCACAAATGACTTTTAGGGGCACCATTATGTTCTACGTCTTACTTCTAAGTTCTTTAGCTCAAAATTGAAATTTCTCTACCCAATCATGATTAGTAATAATATTTAATCATTTTGAATAGATCTGGTGATCGATTTAAAAAGTTTCTACAGCATGAAGGAAAGGATCCAGAGAAATTCATGATGGATATCTCTCGAGAAAGTATTGAGGCTGTTGTTGCTGCTAAGGTGGTATGTCATTTGTTTTGTTTTCCTATATTTATGGCTACGGCTGCCACCACTGTGAGGATATTGTAACCACCTATCTATAGTGTATGCATATATAAACCATTAATACTTAGACATGCTGGGAATTCTGTTTTCTTGCTTGGTAATTACTCATTGATCCCAGGTATACCTACTGTATTAATTGGGTTTGAGGGTCAAATTAAACTACTGTATATTCTCATGTATAAGGCAACCCCCGAGTTTGAGAACAGTTTTGGATGATTTTTGTATGTTGAGTTATAAGACGACCACCCCTCCCCCCTCCCATTTCGCTGTTGGAATTCATACTATTTGGCCTCTCTTTATGGTCTTAATACTGCATCTGCTAGCTAAAAACTTAGGTTAGATTTAATGCATTCAAAAATTTCCTTCAGGCCTTGCAGGCCCTCAGAAAATTTTCTCAAGCATTAAATCTAACCTTCGTATAATAATTTTCCTATAGTGGACTATGCGGAGCTCTACTAATGGCTTATTAGTATACAGCAGTAATGGGAAAAAATTATTGCTGCGAAGCAGCCAATTCATATTCTTGACAGCAATTTGACCTCTGAAAGGTCATTGTTTGTCAAAAAACAAGGGCCTAAGACGACTGAAAAGCGGAGTTTCCTTCTTTCGTTCTGCCGGGTAAAATAAATTACTTTAGGTGACGTTTGTAGACTAACCAACACTTACCAACGTCCGCATGTCGCGCTAGCCTTATCCTACTCTTGGCCTAGACTAGCTTGGATGATATATGCCTAGCCTTGAAGGGACGAAGGTCCCAATGAAAAACAATGTTGCTCCTTGATAGCTAACATTGTCTATTTAACATCACAATAATTCATTATTAGACCTATAGTTGTTTTTTGAATTGTACTCCACAAATCTCAGCCGATACCTCGCACAACTCGAGTAACGTCTCGTATCTATTGTCATGACGTCATGGCTCGCTGGCTCACACACTTGCGATGTCTCACATTTGTGATCAAATAATACGCTGGCTCGCACTTTGGCAACACTCTTTGGCAGTCAACTCGCCCCTAGAAAACCCGCCCTTGGAAACTTGCCCCATAAAAAAATGTACACTTCCTAGACCATGCAGTCTTCAAATTAAAAATTGTAACCTTTGGTAATCAACTACATTTTCAACATACATAGAAATTTTTGAAACTTTATTAAAAAAAAACCTAAACCATAATTCATCACTATAAACACTTTTTGACAAAAATGAAAAATTTCGACTTTGTTACCCAAATTGAAGTGTTCTAATATAGACAATGGGTCGTGTCTCATATTATTTGTTATATTTTTATTATTCATTATTTTCACTTGACTCGCATAAATAATTTTGTTCGAAGAACATTTATATGCAGTTGCAGCACTTCACTTGCAATTTCTAGTTTATACTAATAATGCTCTTGCATTTTTAGCACTAAATACATAGCTAGTAGTTTTAGTTTCAGTTTATGCACATGATTTAGAAAAACATAAAACTGAAACTGTTAATAAGAAACCTGTAAGCATAATCACTAAAAAAGATTAAACTTTTATTACACTTGTTCTCTGATAATGTCATCAAAATAGCATACTTGTTAGGGGGTGGGATATCACAATTTTTGACAGAAACCACCAGGGTCTAGGGGAAAAGCCCTGGCCCCTAGAAAAACTGATAACTTTTGGGATTTTGTCAGATGTGGGAAATGAATTGTGTAGTAATACAGAATAAAAGATTTCTTTTGGGACTAGTGTTCCCATGGTCTTTAGCAGCTTTAGTTAGAATATTGAAGATAAAAGACATTTATTAATGCCCACAGAAAAGTGGTCTGTAATTAGACATGGTCTTTACTTAGAAGGAGACCTGTAATTTAGTACTGTAATGTTGAAGTTTTTAGTGGTGTTGATCACTGCTTTCTAATACTTTTTTTTGTCGGGGACCCACCATTCCAATAAGCTTTGACCAGAGCCCACTAGAAGTTTTTACTCATAAGGCTTCTTGACTCAGCTTGTAAAATATTGGCAAGGTATAGAAAGATTTGCTTCTTCTAAAATATGTTACTAATATGGAAATGGAAATCAACTCATATAGCGCCTTACACAATTAGAAATTGTCTCAAAGAATATGAAAAAGAAAACTTATCCAAGTCATTGCATTTTTTGGTAATTATTTGGGGTGGATTCAGGAAAATTAAGGGTAGCCCATAGAGGGATACAGACAATCTATCTACCTCAGCCCTACTATTAGCCCTACTATGGTCTCGAAGTTGAATATTAATGGGGGTTTTTTTTTCTTGTTTTTTATGACCCTCAGGAAAATATTGACAGCACAAAATTGGGTTGTGACCCATTGTTTGGGAAGTTCCTGTTTATAATGATACCATTTATTTTATTTAAATTGCAGAAGCAGTATGTAAAAGTGCAGTCTGGCCCCAAGGAGCAAGGAAACAGCTGTTGTTCATCTGGTTTGTACCATTTAACTTAATTAAGTATTTTCCCTTTTCCTTGTTAAGATTAATTTTTTTTGAAGAAATCATTGAAGTTTATAGGGTTGATTATAATTTTATTTTAAAATGTCATGCATTTATTAATGACGAATATTGATGAACTGATATTCATTTTTATGCTCTTGAGCAGGCCTGGAAAAAATGTTTTGCTTCTGACCATAAAGATTATCTTGATCAAATGCCTCCAGGAACAAATGTTATCTTTACAGTAATATAGCGAATCAGTAGTACATTTAGTGGTTTGGAGCAATTGTGATGTGCAAAAAAATTGTGATGTGCAAAAAAAAAAAAATTTTTTTTTTTTTTTAATTCCTCCTGTTTTGTTTTTTTTTTTAAATTTCTGCTGTTTTTTTTTTTTTTTTCTTACATAGACAGTGAGGTATTTGCCCATCTACAGGGACAGAATGCAAGTCCAACTGGATCAAGGTTAGTATAGCATTTTTAAATGCATTGTATATCAGATTACTGCTGCACAGTCATAGGCTCATACACAGTAGAAAGATAATGATGTCGGTGGTGGTGGTAATGAAGATGGTATTGGTGGTTCTGATGATGACACGGTGATGGTGTTTCCTGAAGGTGATGATGGTGATAATGATAATAAGTTGATGGTGTTGGTATAGTAATGATGTTGATGGTATTTGTGAAGGTGATGATGGTGATAATAAGGTAATGATGTTGGTAGAGTAATGATGTTGATGGTGTTTCCTGTAGTTGATGATAGTGATAATGATAAGGTGATGGTGTTGGTATTGTAATGATGTTGATGGTGTTTGTGAAGGTGATGATGGTGAAAATGATAAGGTGATGGTGTTGGTATAGTAATGATGTTGATGGTGTTTGTGAAGGTGATGATGGTGATAATGATAATAAGGTGATGGTGTTAGTATAGTAATGATGATAATATTGATGTTGTTTGTGAAGGTGATGATGGCGGTAGTAGTGGTATGGTGATGGTGTGATGATGATATTGTGGTGGTGTTTCTGAAGGTGATAATGATTATAATACATTGATGGTGTTTGTGAAGGTGATGATAGCAGTTGTGATAGTGGTATTGGTGTGCTGATGATAATAATATGGTGATTCTATTTGTAAAGTTATTATTTATTCAGGCAAAAGATACAATACAAAATATATGGTTGTATTGGTGCGCTGATGATTATAATACGATGATTCTATTTTGAACATATTTGTAAAGGTGGTGTTGGTGTTGGTAATGGTAGAGTGATGGTGTTGGTGATGATGATGGTAATTCTATTAGTATTATTATAAGTGCAACTTAGTCCTATGTAAATATTGTCATTGGTATGATCTGTATACAGGTATATCAATCATGTATGGATATTGTATTGTGTTTATATTTTTACTTACTAATTTTGTATATAATCTTATTTATTACTGTACTATTTATGTTTTTTATTTTATACTTTGTAAAATTGCCAGTGGAAACTAATTTCTGATTTTTCAGACAATGAAATTATCTTGTATTTAGTATCTTGTATTAACTTAGTATTATCATTATTTGTCTTGCAGTTCGTCAGAGATTCCACATACATCTACAGATGAAACATGGTGTCCGCTGTAAGAAATTATTATAGTAAATAATACACCTAAATAGATCCTTGTCATTTGATTGGTGGATTTTGTATCACGTGACATTAGTTATTAACCCCAATTTTGTCACTCATAGAAATTTAATTCCACCATGCATATTTATTTCCATCAGTTTTCGCCCATTGCACGGTGCCTAGGAAATGACATGATTTTGATTGGTTAAAAAGACGCTGGGACTGTTAAGGTGGATTTTTTTTTCATAAAATAACAAATGACAAGAATCTATTTTAGGTGTGTTATAAAACAAATAATGAATATTTTTTATTCACGCAGTGGAAAGAATATTTTCATGAGTTAAAAGATTGAATGTTCTATTCAACTCGGCTCAGCCTTGGTTTCATTATCATTATTTTTCTTGCAGCTCATCGGAGATTCCACATACATCCACAGATGAAACAACACTGTAAGAAATTATTATTGTTATTCATATTAACATCATCGATATAATTAATCACATTATTATCATCTTTTATTTGAACCACTTTTATTTCAAAATGCATCAAAGATAAATACAATTAAAAACCATCAAAACAGAACTATAAGCTGTAAGAAATTATTATAATTAATAATACACCTAAATAGATCCTTGTCATTTGATTGGTGGATTTTGTATCACGTGACATTAGTTATTAACCCCAATTTTGTCACTCATAGAAATTTAATTCCACCGTGCATATTTATTTCCATCAGTTTTCGCCCATTGCACGGTGCCTAGGAAATGACATGATTTTGATTGGTTAAAAAGACGCTGGGACTGTTAAGGTGGATTTTTTTTCATAAAATAACAAATGACAAGAATCTATTTTAGGTGTGTTATAAAACAAATAATGAATGTTTTTTATTCACGCAGTGGAAAGAATATTTTCATGAGTTAAAAGATTGAATGTTCCATTCAACTCGGCTCAGCCTTGGTTTCATTAGCATTATTTTTCTTGCAGCTCATCGGAGATTCCACATACATCCACAGATGAAATAACACTGTAAGAAATTACATATTGTTATTCATATTAACATCATCGATATAATTAATCACATTATTATCATCTTTTTCGGAAGGTTAAATCCTATGGATATGACGCCTAGGATATGACATTACTTTTGATTGGTTAAAAAGATGCTGGGACTGTTAAGGTGGATTTTTTTTTTATAAAATATCAAATGACAATGATCACCTTTCAGAAAAAATGTAGAATTTTTTTTCATAAAATAACAAATGACAAGAATCTATTTTAGGTGTGTTATAAAACAAATAATGAATGTTTTTTTATTCACGCAGTGGTAATAATATTTTTCATGAGTTAAAAGATTGAATGTTCCATTCAACTCGGCTCAGCCTCGGTTTCATTATCATTATTTTTCTTGCAGCTCATCAGAGATTCCACATACATCCACAGATGAAATAACACTGTAAGAAATTACATATTGTTATTCATATTAACATCATCGATATAATTAATCACATTATTATCATCTTTTATTTTAACCACTTTTATTTCAAAATGCATCAAAGATAAATACAATTAAAAACCATCAAAACACGACAAAATATAGACCTATATTATGTCAATAAAAAAAAAAACTTCCTAGGACATTTGCTATCTTTGTAATGAATAATAAAGAGGAAAGCAAGTGACATCCAAAAAAATGATGGATGGTACCTCCAACCAGGGGTTAGTACCCCGACTATTAATATGCATGGTTTTTCTATCAAGTTTTAAAAAAAATAAGGAATCCAACAATTAACACAAAATCTTATTATTTTTAAATAAAAAAATTCCCTGACAAATTTAAGTTTTGACAAGGGGATCCACAACCCTGTCGGGGAGCTTGGACCCCTTGTCCCCTGGCGCCGCACCTGTGTCTTACTGGCTCGATATTAATATTATCTTCATCAATATTCTGATTATTCGTATCATCATTATCATAATTTGTCTTGCAGCTTGTCAGGTTTTAATTCAGACTCCACAGAAACCTTGTAAGTACCATATCGCTTTTGGCATGTTATGTGGCCGAGCGGTAAGGCAGGCCACGCCCATACGCAATTCAGCACAATGAAGTTATGTTTCATTCTCCTACCTTTACCTATCTTTTATTTAGGTTGTCTGTAAATGCTACATTACTACATTCTAGTTACCATGACAATGATAAAATGGTCAAGAATATAAGGTTTAAAATGCAGAAATAAAGTTTGAAAACAATTGCATCTCCTTTAAAATACCATGGCAGTTCCATGTGTTATGAACAAAGATGTTTGCCAGTTGGTCTAGGACTAAAGGCAGCAGTTCTCAATTGTAGAACATTTCATAAACATTAGAATCGGATGGATATTTTGTAATGTTGGCACCAAAAATATCATTTCTTGACTATAAATTTACCATAACAGTAGTTTCCTATCATATACCAAATCATATATGAGCCTATTACTATACACATATATCTTTAGGTCTACAATTTTACTGAGGTTAAAACTTAAAAAAACAAAAGTGTAAGGATACTACACTTATCTTTCAGATCAGGTGATTGTCAAAGGACAAATTGTCCACTGTAAACATTATATTAATTATAATTATTATCATTACGATTATGACTATATGATCATAGTTACCATTATTTTTTATGCCTTTCAGCACATACAGTCTACAAAAGTCAACAGATCAACAAAGACCACTGTAAGAAATAATTATTATTTCATTTATATTATTATTATAGGAGTGATATTTTTACCATACTGTCTTATCATACGGAATGTCTTATCATACGGAATACCTTGTACATTCTCAAATACTTGCAAGAAAAATTTGCAAGTGATTTGTGTGGGAATCGAATCCACGACCTCCAGATAACTAGCCTGGTGTCGTAACCACTAGGCCAGGCTAGTTATCTGGAGGTCCCCGAGAAAGAGTTTGATAACAGGCTTTTAAGTTATTTTTGGCTACAGGGAGTATTGATTTGATTTGTTTGTTAATGTTATTTCGGCAGGTTGGGCCTATAATATGGGTTGGGCCTCAGCCTTCGTGGTCCACTGGAAACCCTTAGGGGGCCCTGCGGGTCGTGATCCTTCAAATGAGAGTGCATAGAAGTTAAGCGCCTGATCAGTACTACTATATTATTTAAAGAAATTATCATTATTGTTGTTGTTGTTGTTGTTGTTGTTGTTGTTGTTGTTACTTATTTTATTACTAATATTATTTGTCTTTCAGTCCATCAGAAAGTCCACAAAATTTAAAGGAAACCCAGTAAGTAGAATTTTAGTTTTTTAGTTAATATGTTAACCCTTAAATTAAAGTGATGTATTATATAAGTATAAAAGTGTAAGGATACTACATTTGTCTTTCAGATCAGGTGATTGTCAAAGGACGAATTGTCCACTGAAAACATTATATTAATTATAATTATTATCATTACGATTATGACTGTATGGTCATAGTTATCATTATTTTTATATGCCTTTCAGCACATCCAGTAGTCCACAAAAGTCAACAGATCAACAAAGACCACTGTAAGAAATAATTATTATTTCATTTATATTATTATTATAGGAGTGATGTTTTTACCCTACCTGATGTCTTATCATATGGAATACTTTGTACATTCCCAAATACTTGCAAGAAAAATTTGCAAGTGATTCGTTTGGGAATCGAATCCATGACCTCCAGATAACAGGCCTGGTGTTGTAACCACTAGGCCAGGCTAGTTATCTGGAGGTCGTGGATTAGATTTCTTTTCCCAAGTATTTGGATATGTGCTGTGTATTCGGTACAAAAACACGTCAGTTATTGCAAAACATGACTCCTATTTTACTTCCTGACGAAAACTCAAATCGAAATATTATTATCATAAATATCATTATTAGTGAGACCTCTAAATAAAAATAATTGTAAGCTGTCGTGACAAAATGAATCCATTTAATATATTCAAGGAAATATATCTGAAGTGATATTTTAACGGAAATTAGTTTTCAATGTTTCTGATAAGTTTAGTATGTGTATTTCATAGTAAAGTTCTGGGTTGAGTTACCTAAGGCAAACATGTACCACAAGACTCATTTTGTAATGACAGCTCACAATCAATATGATTTATAAGTGCTGTGTTTATCAATGTCATGTAAAATAATAGGTAATTGCATTTATTAAATTATTCGACAAAGCAGTATGTTTTACTTTATTTTACCTGAAAACGTCACAAAGCAATTAAATAAGTAATATTTCATTATGAATTGAAACATAAAATCATTATTATGCTTAAGAAGTTAATTTTGGTTGTGAGAAACAATCCAGTTGAAAGGAATTGAACCCAGGACCCTGGAATTGAAAGGCGAGCATCCTAACCACCAAGCCATTCAACTCCACTACAATAACATTCTATTGTAGATATTAGGAATTATCTTTTGCTTGTGCACTATTTTTTGTATAATAAAATTACATTCATGATGAAATGTGCAACAAAATTTTAATTTTAAAGATTTAATCCACTTTGTTTTTCAGACGTGCAAATCATCGGCGAACAAGAATTTCACTGTAAGAACATTTATAATCGTTGTTGCTATTGTTAAATATTTAACTATTATATAAAAAAGGTAAAACATAAAGAGATAAAACCAAATTATACAGTATTTTGGGGATTACAGAAGAAAACATCTTTAAAAAATAATTTAACAAAAATTTATTTTTAATAATTTATTAACAATTTATTTCTTATGCAGAAAATTCAACAACTGTGATGAAAATGATGGCGAGATCGTTAAATGGGATTCTGATGATGAGGAAATAACGTGTAAGTTATTTTACTAAATTTTATAATGAAATATCTTAGTATTTTGTAATTTGATGTTCTGACCTGTTGATAGTATTATATGTTTTATTTGTTGTGATTATCTTATACCGTCTCATATTTTTTTTACTGCATTTTATGGAAAAATAATGCATTTGATATTTGATTTCAAGACCCCATGATTTTCAGCATACTCTGTTCTGGGTCACCCTCATTAAATAATCCAAATTGAAGTTTAAAGAATATTATTTGACTGCTAGATATTATGTTACTTTCCATTCTCTTTGGATTTAAAGGAAAATTTCTATAATGCCAAAGATTGATATAGCGCCAATTCCAAAACAATGATCAAGGGTGTTGAGCGTTATGACCCCAGGTCACTAGATAGCATAAGGCAAACAAAGTGCACTCAACGCACGAAACAGGTACAATCAGTGCCACAACATTGTACCAGGTACCTATTTGTATTCCCAAGTAGAGAGACACACATGTAGACAAAGTACCTTGCCCAAGAACACAATTGACAGCAAGAGTTTCTAACCCCCGACCTCAAGGTTGGGAGTCCAAACGATAACCAATTATACTCCTAAGTAGAGGCAAACGTAGGTAAAGTGCCTTACAAGTAATTTACACGCAGTGGCGTATCTAGGAGGTGCACGGAAAAAATTACTTGGGGCCCCCCAAAAAAAATTACCTAAAATCACCTTATTTTGCAAATTTTCACCCCTCAACTGCTGTCTCTTATACACATCTAGATGTGTATAAGAGACAGCCCATACGCAATTAAGCACAATGATGCTATGAATTATGCGTTATACTCCTACCCGACCTTTATTTTCAGCAAGAGTTTCCAACCCCAGACCTCACGGTGCGGAGTCCAAGCAACAACCGATGCGCTAAACTATTTCTACAAATACAAAATACTGTTCACTTCATTAGATCCAGTGCTACCTACACCTAAATGCCGATATAGTTTGGATGTCAAACAAGGCATACGTAGACGGTGGACAAACGCTGAAGTAGAGGAACTCCGTTCTGGGGTGAGGAGGTTTGGAGTAGGGGAGTGGTCAAAAATCCGTGACCATTTCCATTTGGAACACCGGTCGGCTGTAGATATTAAGGACAAATGGAGGAACCTGTACAAAAACAAATAAGAATTAAAGGTAAGAAAAAAACCGGGGAATTCTGCGGCAGGGGCTGGCGCAAGGGTCTTAAGTCTCCCGCAAATCCGGGCGTCTCCCGGAATTTGGGACAGTCTTTCGCACTCCCGCAAAAATGCATGAATCTCCCGGAAAATTAACCATTTTGTTTTTACTACTTTATCAACTGTCTCACTGAAATCAGTGACAAAGGGTATCAGCTGCATTGCACAGGGGAAAAAAATTGAAAATTTTTATTCCGTATTTGAATTTGCTTAATTTTTTTTCAACTTAAAAAAAATCCCCCGTCAGGTTTAGGGCAGTTAAATGATACCTTTCTTGTATTCTTTTGCATGGATCCTGGAATTGGTTGATACAATAAACAATGTAAGGATTTTTGTAGTAAAATGTCTAAATCGGGGAAAAAACTTTTTCTTTTTCTCTGTTTCTCTCTGGAAGCTAATAATTTATTTGGTCATTTCAAATGTGTTATTCAAATGTTGATTTGAATTTTAGACATATATTCCAGTTTTTTTGGCTGATAGTACATCTTTAAGAAAGCTCATTTAACCTAGGTGTGGATCTGGGTTCAAAATTGTTTCTTCTGGCTCCCTCATCTAATAGCCAATCCCTGTTACTCCCAGATACGCTTCTGAATACAGACGGAATAAAACATTTTTATGAATATCATATGCGAAGAGATTGTTTATTCAAAGACATCCACATAAAATATAATGCAAGTCGTAATTTAACTTTATACCCATTTACACAATTTATAACTATTCACTTCTATACAGTACTAAGAGTAACCTACATTTAATATTCAACTTTTGAACGTTAAATGAAAATATATTATAAATTTCTCTCCCATGGCATTTGCAAAATAAATCTTAACAAATATATAATAATATAAAATCATACAAATGATCGGCTGCAGAATGATTTCATCAGCAGATGTCATTTACATGTGAATGTTCTGGTTGTTGATAACAAGTGCTTGATTGATAGCTTATCCAGCGTTGCTTTCATTATTAACAAAACTAAATTCAATGTATTATTTCTGGCTTTAGTCATGAACAAATTTGATGCCTTTTATGGTTAATATGTCTCATTAGCCTTTTTTTGATATTGGATTAAAGGAATTTTCTGTAACCGTTTGTGATTGTAGCGTTTTAAAGAAACAACCTACATGATATTATGAAAAAAAGAATAATAATGTTCTGAGAATTTTTGTATGTATTTTTAGATTATGTCACCATTTTGTAATTTTAAATATTCAGTATTAATGACATAAAAATATATTTTAGACAATATGTGAAGTGTCGACATAAAATGAATTTTTGGTACTGCACCAAACATAAAAATTGATTTATTAATAGATTCAGATAGATTACATAGTAAATTGATTTTGGTCGAACTTTCAAGGTTGAGTAAAACAGCCTCACAAAATGTGCCTCAAAAACTATTTTAATTTTCTACTATGCAATATTAGTATTAAAACTCCATTCTGGTCAAAACATGACACTGTACATATTTATCTTTAATGTCCAGTCCTGACTATAAAATTATGCTTGACCAAAACATGTGATATGCTTATTAATATTCATTATGACATCACATCATGACCATATATAGGCACATCATGACTATATATGGGCATAACACAGTTTTTTGTCAAAGAAAATTTGATAGTGTGGAACAAATTGGCGTGGTGTACAACGCACCTCATTTTATCACGACAGCTCACATATCAAGTGGGTAGCATTGAATTACCTGAAAAAGAAACCAAGTCAGATATATTTTTTGGAATGATAAATAACTGGTTGCCATTGTATTTTGTATAAATAAGTATAAAATGAAAGTAATGTAGCTAGCTGGATTTTGAATTTGGGACCTACACATTAGCTGGTACTGTAATCACAAACCAATATTATTTCCAATTTTGTTCATACTTTCCACATTTTTTTTTTTGTATTTAAATCTTTACATGATTTAGTTTTGTATTGTGGTGTTTAGAATAATTGAAACCAAATTATATAGTATTTTGGGATTATAGAAAAATCTTTAAAATAATTTATTAACGATTTATGTCTTTCACAGAAAATTCAACACCAGTAACGAAGATGCCTAGAAATTAAGTCTGATGATGAGAAAGAAATTTGAGTCTTTTTATGGAGAATCAGTCCATATTTTTATATTGAATTGCAGGATTTTTTAAAGCGTTTGTGAGTTTAGCCTTTTTAAAGAAACAACCTAAATAAGATATATTTTGATAACGAAGTGAAAAAGCATACAGTAATTAATCATAAACATTATTAATCAAATGAATGATAACATGAAATTGCTTAAAAAAATACAAAATATGTCATAAAAATATAAATAACTATAAATAATAATGTAGTCTGACACATTTGTCACACAATAGCAATTCAGTATCTGTTATACACCTTTATCGAAAATACTGTATTTCCATTCATAATGTAAACATTTTGAATAATTAATGACTAAATGATATCATTAATCCAGCCACAGAAATAAGCCAATTTGTTTTTTGAACTGAATATGCCCGTATCAAGGTCAAACAACAATCATACACACAATATTATGTTTATGTCAATTGACAAAGATTGATTGTACTGTATAATGATATTAAAAATTATTGTGATGTGTTGTGAAAAAACGAGCCTTGTATGCCAGGTGATTTTGATATATTCAAGAAGTGATATTGTGACAAAAATTGGGATTTAGTATTTTACAATACCAAATGTTCTGACTTGAGGTGCATAAGTTAAAGGTGTTTTATGAGGAACATTTTTTAAAGCTCTCTTCCAGAATTGATAGGAAAATTTTCAGTTGTTTCTTTAGATGTGATTTTCTCTAAAGTGCATTTTCAGATATCTGAATTTGGAAATGATCTTACTCCAGTAGTATTCAACCTAGGAACCTGATTCAAAGACCAAACAAAAGCTAATATGAATCAATCAATCGTTACTTGTGGTGCGGTTCCAAAAAGGGATTATGGAAAAAGGTGCGTCTTTAGTAGTGACTTAAAACTGTTGAGTGAAGGTGATTGTCATCTACCGGTATCTAAATATACAGTATCAGTAACTCATTTTTCGTACAAGATTCATTTTGTCGCAACAGCTCACAATTTCCTACCAGTTACAAATATTTGAAAAAATAGAAATGTGTACACATACACCCTGTACTTACATATTCAGATAGAAAAATAACTTATAAACTGTTTACAAATTTATGAAATTCCAGTTTAATCATTAAATATTTATTTTCAAATATGAAATGGGATGAATAACACTGTTGATTATAGGTGATTTAGGAACAAATTAAGATCTACTGTCACTCATGTTTATGAAAATTCTTAAACTCTCTGCGATAAATATTGGTTTGATAGGTGAAAGTTAATAATAAATTAAAATATACAAATTTATAGCCTTTCAAGTAATGTTTAAGTGGTAGTATATCTTAAACCAACCATCAATCAATCAATCATTGTACAGTATACATTGTATTTTTGCTACATAGTATGTACTAAGGAGTTATGTGGGTTTGGGTTTCCAAACAAAAGATATGTGTTTCGAACCTCTTTGTTTTTGTTTTTTAGCAAGGCACTTCATAAATGCTGTCTCTTGCCATCTAAGATTATTACTTGAGTCCTAATATGCTACTTACAGTATTAAAAATGGATTTGAAATTTTGTTTTTGTTGAACCAATTATTTCTGATATGCGGCAGCACTTGAAGTGTCATGGGTATTAGGGAGTTCTTAAGACTTATCGCACCAACAAAGGGAAAAACAAATTTGTAACAAACTTTCGGGCATAGTGTGGTAAAACACTGTGCTAAAACATCACCGAGCAGCTTGAAATTGCCCAAAATTTAGCCACCTGAGAGCCCTACCAGGACTTTATAGGTCAGACTCAACCCCCTGTTGGACAGTTTATCTCCCTGACAGGCAAATCCTGCCCCATAGCCTAATGAAGGCATCTTGTATACCTTTCCACTGTGTTGTGCCCAGATCTCGTACACAAGGTACAGGATTCATAGTGTAGAGTAGTTAATGCTTGAGTACCACTTTTATGCTATACATTATGACCCCCCCCCCCTTGAACTTAAAAATACAGGGAATTGTAACATAAGCATAAGCCTGTATAGAATGCAATAGGTCCAGCTGCGTTGATTTTGCAAGCACGCAATGGAATGAAAAACAAAGTGTACTACTACAAGATAGGGGCGCAATTTTAGAATACTAATTGCTTTCGAACATGTGATCTATTGACGCAGCATGCGATCAATACTATTTTATGTTCTTTTGAAGTGTGCCCTCTAGTTCGTTGTACTTTTTGAGATAGGATTGCATTTGAATGAAAACCTGAGTCGGACCTCTTGTAGTTCTTATATTCTTTGCTGTCTCTCATCTTTTCATTGTAAAAAAAAAAAAATTGGACCATCAGGATATTTAAAAAATTGTTTGAAAGTTATTAAACAATGAGTAAACAATATTTTGTGGATTGTATTTGGGAGCTGTGAACATAATTGACCTTTCTGGAATGTCACTTAATCAACTGACCAATCAGGGCCAGGGATATGCGCATGCCTTACAAATACACGTGTTGTCCCACAAACAATATCAACAGTATCCAAGGCGTGGGGCTTAGCGGAAAAGTCCATTACAACCATCCAAAACGTAAACAAAATGCCCATCCAATACAGCTTTAACACCATCGCTTTATGCTCAAATACATAATACATAATATCAGGAGTACGGTGTTTAGAATACTCAATCTGACTGCACACTGGGGCGGATGTAGGCGCGGGTGCTTCAGTGCAATCGCACCCCCTAAATTATATTAAGAAAAATAATTGTATTTTATTGTTGATATATTATTTTTATCAATGAAATTATAGTACCGGTTAGATTTTAAAGAGTACTGTCCCTTGAAAATGACCAAAATCCTAAAAAAATTATTTTTAAATTAACTTGCTCATTTTGCAGTAAAATACAAATTATTAACTTGAGCATAGAAATTATTAAATTTAAAAAATATGGATAATTATAATAAAGATAATAAAACACTTCAAGTGACTGGAAGTGATTCTATCATTTTTTCACTGTAAAATGATGGTTTTTATGGGTAAGCATTTTTTAAATACACTAATTTCTATGTTACTTCAAAATGGGCAAGTGAATTTCAAAAATGATTTTTATAATTTTTTTTGTTTTTGTTTTTTGCAAGGGACAGTACATCTTTAAAAGTATGAGAGTGGTGCGTGATTCTTGCGCACCCCCTACCACCACCCCCAGGCACAGTGTTACGTCCTGATCGTACACCTGGTTTAAAGTTATACTGCCTGTCATGAGGTAAAACAATTGAAAAATTCAATTCCATATTCAATTTTTTTTTTTATCAACTTTTAATTTTAAAATGAAAACAAAAATTCCCCTGTCAGTTAATACAACATGTAAATAATACCTTTCCTGTATTCTTTTGTAATAAATTAAAAAAATTTTGTTGTAAAGAGTTTGTAAAATATTTTTAAAATTTTAATTTTATTTTAGATTAAAGTTTATTTGATTTTTTAAATGAGTTTTGAGGTTTTTTTTTTTCAATTTTTCTAGCAGACAGTACAACTTTAACAACATTTCTTTCCACATTATATACAAAACCCTACGGTATATTGGTATAACCGGTCTTAGACAGTCTTAATGCGTACCAGACAATAATTGTGACGTTAATTATGCTCTATTTATAAACCAATGCTATTATAAGTAACCCAGCTATCATTTTTTAGCCTCCTAGGATGGGATATAATTGATTTTAAAGCTATTAATATGGCTTCTTTCATGGATACAAAATTGATGAGGATATAAAAATCCAATTTTCCCTTGAAGGTAATAGAAGCCTACATTATATAAAACAAGACCTATTACTGGTAATGAGACTGTAGAGGAGACAAGCAACTGTGTAATATTTTTATCATTGCAAAAATATGCAAACAATGCGAGTCCACAATGCAAATATTTAATCACTGTACCGTATTTATTCGAATAAAAGCATTGGGGCATTTATTGTTGAGAAGGCGTTTTATACTTGAGGGAGGCATTTTTTTTTTTTAATGTAAAATGGATATGTATATACTCAAATAAATGCCCCTTAATTTCAAATTAAAGGTGGAACTAACTACAACACATAATTACAGCCAAAATGTCTTATTGCGTGATCATAAAAACTTATCGATCTCAACCATGTTAGAAAAAATGTACTTCTTTTGGAGTAGAACATTAGTAGAATGTGTTGAGAATGATGTTGCTTCCATTAGATTTGTTTACAGTCATTTGGGGGGGGGGGGGTTGCTACTGTTCAAGGAAAAAATAAATGCCCCGAGGAGTTTATTTCAAAGGAGGGTCTAGAAGGGCTGCTGTTTATTCAAATAAATACGGTAATTGATAGTAGTTAAAATTATTTAAAAATACTACTTTATGGAGAAATTTTTAATAATCAACATTTTACAAAGCAAAGTATGAATTAATTCTTTCCAATTGGTAAGACCAGTTACACAATAAAGCTGGTGATATTATACCCCCTTCCCATTATCCCACTCAATTACATGATCACAATGTCTATTAGCTTCACCACAGCTGTACTATAAAATATTTTTTTAAAATAAATTTACAATGTATAAAAAATATACAACATTATGTACATGAACAAAATCACATACAATATTATTTTTGTTCATACAATTTAGCATTAAAATCTGTTGTAGCCATATATGGCTCAAATCCTGTTTTCCTAAAGTTTGTTTTAGTTTTTTTCCTTGCTTTGATTGTACACAAAGAAAATGAAACAGTCGTCGTTTTTGTATAGTACAGAGGAAAAACTAGGTCATTCTGTCCACTCTCCATTAACGTTGAAAGCATGTTAATGCAAAATGATTAGGAACAACCAAATTGAATAACTTATCAAAAACATACATATGGAAACAATGGTGGATTGTAGTTAAGAGGCAAAATTAGTAAGTGCCAGCTAAAATTGAAATACGGTATATACCATAATATGTAAAATGGAGGCAACTGTTTTAACACTCTTTGTTTATGTATTGAACAGTGCTAGTCCAAACCACACTGTTTCACCCTCTTCGTTCATGTATTGAACAGTGCTAGTCCAAAACACTACTGTATGTGTAACAGATCAATATGCCCTATGAATAGATCAAGGTTGCTCTGTAGCACTGTGAACACATTATAAACAAATACAAAATAATTAATAATTTACTACAAATCTGGTGTATATTTTTGCTTCAGTTAAAATACAAAGCTTGTCAGTTTGACTAATCATAGAGGCGTCCTTTCACTTTTGAGTGATGGTTGCAGGGGCTGATCCAGAGATGTCCAAAAAGGGGGGGCCCCCCCCCCAAAACTAGGGCTAATCGGGCATAACATTGTCCTAGGGCGTCCGGGGGATGATTTGGGCTATCATTTTCTTTTTCTTTCTTTTTTTTTACCTCCCAGAAGGGGGACCCCGGGGTAACCTCCAAATCCGCACCTGGGTTGTGATGAACTTCCCCCTCCCCCAAATCAGCCCCTGGGTTGTGATGAAGTTTTGTAAACCAACAAACAAAATAATCCATTTGAAACATGTTGAGGTCAAAACTAAATACTGTACAATTTGACCGAGTCTATCATCGCAAAGTTTAATGACCATTCTTCTGGATGATTGACAGCGGACCAGACACTTTTATTAATTCTGAGGGGATTTCATCATCAAAAATTAAATTTGCACTAGGCAATTTATCAAGTATTCACAAAATATAAAGGATTTTTTCAAATTATGTCAAATAAATACAGTGTTTTACAAATATTTACGTCATGAAACATCAAAGTTATCTATTACTTCATTATCCACCAATCACTGAACAGCATTCGTCTTTGACAGATAGGCTTCTATAATTCATGTGGATTTGACTTGTCAAAATATAAAGTTTAGCTTGTGATCGTAGACAAGATCGCATTTTCTCAAACGAAGCACATGATATATATTGTAGCCATGTCCCCAAGATAGGAGATGCTGATATTTCAAACAGAACTTTCCATGAAAACAATCCCAAATGGTGACAATGTATTCCTTTCTTGTAGAGTTGAACAATGTAGGTTTAGGTTGTCTCCAAAACAACATTAGAGGCAAATTAATTGCTATCTTTACCTCTTGCCTCATCTCTATTCTCTTTTTTCTTCCTCCTCTTTGCCATTAATTTGTTCGCAATCATCTTTTAGGTTTTGGCTTGTTGACTGCTCTCTATCTATTCCCTTATCAAGTAACGGTGTTACTCCCCTGTAAAACACGAAAACCCAGCCTCAAATAAAATATCAAAATTAAAAAAGAACTCTAATAATTATTTTTTTCTTATTCAAGTACGTCATCAATTTCTAAATGCAGCCTATCCAACTGACAGCAGTCATAACTCATTCACAAATTTTAAGTAACTAAACAGCAAATTTTAATCGTTTCATCGACCTCAAAAGAGCACCCTCGTCTGTCAGCAGCTGGTTCCAGACGTATTAGACAATCCTATCGCATAAACTTTTATGTAATTTTCAAGATATTAAGAGTAAACTACAAATTTCAATCAGTTCATCGACCTCAAAACAGTGACCTTTCCATCTGACAAATGTATTATACATTTCTGTGTAAATTATTTATAATTTCCAAGTAAAGATAGAAATTAATTCATCACATTTCTTACCTTTCCCTGTTATACAAGCAAAATTGTTTACTAAACTTCTCAAGGCTTTCTCGTATTTCATCACTCTAAATTAAAGTAATCAACAGATTTATACAATCAAAAACTAATTTTTTTTTTTTTCAGGATGAAATGGTGAAAACATGGCGATGAATATAGCAGGTTGAATATTTATATATGTCAGAGGCATATCAGGTTTAATTCTGTAAATTCAAATAAAACACTTTGTACTCTCATAGAAGCACTCAAGCATGATTGAGTGATAAGAACAGTTTTATTATATGTAAGAAGAGAAAAGAATCATGCTTGGGCCTTGGGCTATCGCCCATTTTTATTATTACGTAACACTTACCACATCTTTACAATTGCCCTTTGACCCCTGCTTTGCTAAACGCTTCTTTTTCTTGTGTAAGGGTTTTGACTCAATAATCATCTCTTCGAGTTCAAATGTTGGGTCACAGTTCAAATGGTCTTTCTGCAGTAACAACCAAAAATTATAATATATTAAATAGTGTCATTGAATCTAGCATCTACTCTTTTAGATTTTGCAGTAGGAAATTTTGATGAAGAATAATATTATTAATATCAAATAGCAAAGATGATCATGGGGGAGTAAGCTGGGGGATGTCAGCATACCCCCAGCCTCCACACATGATGATGATAAGGCCAAATAAAATAAATTGTTTGTTTGCCCTTCTTTTTAAAAAAATGATAAAAAGGGGCGGGTGGAATAAAACAATTTTTTTTTTTGGCCTAATGATTATTAGAGATGATCTATAGTAAAAACATAACACAAGTGATGTTGCCTTTAATACAAGTTTAGTCAAGAATGCATCCTCTAACTTTGTGAGTGATCTTGGGTCTGGTTTCCTTTGAGTTAGAAGATTGAACATTGTTAGTACTTGAAAAAGTTGTAAAATTAGAGGGGTCAAGTCTCAAATTTGAGTGAACTGTATTATTTTCAAATATAATTAGATCACACTAATTTTCAAACATTTGTACATTTTTTTTTGTACACATGTTTACTACTGGAATAATTTTTAAAATTCACTGCAAAATATATATCAGTTTGGATTACAAAAACAACCTCAGCCATTAAGTCAATTCTTTATAATGTAAGTCTAATACTAACTGTAGGGCGATGACCTCTCGTATATATTCACAGAGAGCAATATACTCTTGCCTCGGTTTAAGCACACTGTTAAAATGCCAAACACTTTTTGAGATATTATCATGCATATACTAGTATAATGTATACACCGGTAGATAAATTGCAAATGTACCGTAAACAAGTGTCATTTGCATGCATTGCAATGATGAGTTACTAATGAAATTTAAATTTGGAAGTCTGTGTACTAGTTGTGTGAATACAGAGTAGTGGGTGTGGTAATGATGATAAAAATAATAACAACAAATATAATAAAATGTATCATTGGTAGATAAATTTCAAAGGAATGGTAAATATGTACCATTTGCATGCATTCATTAAATGATATAAAGATTAAATTTTCCTTTTTTGTCAAATTCCAAATATTTGAAATTCAAATGACGTCATAATCATGGAAAAACGATAAAATCGTAGTAGTAACAATGACTTGTCCTAGTGTAAAATATTCTTTTCCTTCTTTTATTTTCTATATGAACAATTGCTTTTTAGCTTTTTATCATTGACCGTTATAATCCTAGTGTAAACAGGCCTTTAATTCCATGCAAGGATTATTCAAGGAGGACAACGATCTAAATCCAATTAATTAGCTCATAATGTAGCTCTAAACCAAATTGAAATTCTTGTCTAGCATATGCCAACAATAAATCATTATTATGAATAATATTATACGATGGATACACATGATCATTATTATATTATTTGTCGACCAAATGAGCAATGTTTTTGTTTATTGGAATCAAATGATATACTTACAGGTGGAACGAATGTGGGTCTGATACTCTTATGTAATACAGCGTCCCAATCCACATCTCGCATATACATATTCTTCTTCATTGCTTCCAAATTCTGGATTCTTGACTCTGGGTTTTTGCATAGCAACTAAAAATGAAAAACGTTAATGTACATGATAGCAACAATCATAACTACTTTCAATTAATTAAAACAATATTGACAGCCATAATGTCAAATGTATATTATTTCGTTCTTTCTGTATGAGTTGTTATTGTTCTACGCTCTGGTCTATGTATAGGCTTTCATCTATGAACACACTGAGAGTATGTTATAACAATATTTTAAGAAAACTGTTACGCCAACCGAGATACTGTAGTGCTAATGCACTTTTTGTTAATAATAATTTATTATCTTTCCAAGAATTTATGAGAAAATCAATCTTTAGCTTTTTAAAGCGATTTTCTACTTGTGTGAACCCTTTAGTTCGTTCTGTAAATGGATTTTTTGAAAGTTCTAGGCTCTCAAAAAAATGGAACGAACTTCTTTATGTTAATCCTTAATTTCTAAGGATCATGTGGGGTTTATTTTCCCCTTGTATTTATATTATTATTAGTTAAGTTGACGATGTTTAACTATGGATGTAAAGTCTGAAATAAAGAATAATGAATAATGAATAATGAATGAATGTGAACTAAACATAAATAATTAATGCCATGATAGAGAAACTATGCAATATTAAAAAAAAAAAAACCATGTACAATCAATCAATAGATATTTACAGAGTGGTCCCTGGCAGAATGTAATGTTCAGTGGTGAACTAAGTACATATCTTACTGTATTGGATTTCTTTGGTGTGTGACATACCAAGATTAACCCTGAAATTCCTGAGACTTATTTTCTGGCGGTGAATTGGGCATTATACTGGGAGACAATTCCCTACTCTTTTCCAAGGATTGAACCTACTTCCTCTGACTTTGGGGCTGAGCACCACCACTCTACATGTCACAATGTTATATAGGTGTCATTCCTAATGAACTAATGATTTGGATACATAGGATGAAATGCTCTTAAAAAAAAAAACTTGTTGGGATTAACAGAGTACACTTTACAAAGACATGTTTAATGATAGGAAAGGTCAGGTTAAGATATGGGTTGAAAGAAAGCAGGTCGAGATATTGATGTTGCTGGGTACTCTTATTTGAAATGATGGATGCATCTGGGGGGGAAAAATTATGCTCCTTTGAAAAGGATGAAAGTCATCAACAATGATTTATTTCTCATAAAAACATATAAATCAAAAGACAATTGCTCTAATATTTTTCTCTGTCTGCATCTTGAAGTAGTTCTTGGAAGGCAAAAATAAAAAATTAATAAATCAGATTTAATGGTTTTATTTAAATATAATTCCACTGATAGCGTATATTAAGAACCTTAATGCGCAGTATTTGCATTTTATATGTTTGGAGAAGAAAATATGAAAATGTTCCAATATCTTTTATATATTTTTAGTGTTCACATCTAATGTTTTCAACCTTGTAGAACCACTCAACAGTGATTTGTTTTGCTTTTTGTTTATCCTGTCGAGTTGTTAATTTTCTCTCTATTTGTTTGTATTTTCTCATGTCCTTGTATGTTTTTCTGAAGATAAAATTAAATGAAATGTAATCACATTTAATGTTTCCCCTACAGAATGTGAACGACAGGAACAACATCTTTTTAATTTATATTTTAATTGATCTTTTTACTGCTTTAAGTTACCGCTAGAGTGATGAACAATTTTTTAAATCTTATTTATTGCTGCCATTTTGTAATCTGGTTAACTAAATTTTATGCCTTTTAAATTACTTGTTTTCTGTCACCATGATAAAATGTGTGTTTTGCAAGGACCCCAATGGAAATAAGTTATTTTTTAGGGTTTCCTTGTAATGATCATGTATTTGTGCAATTTTTATCTTTGTTTTTATTTATGTATCAATCAATATAATGATATAATAATATACTTTATTTCTAAACGGATACACTTGATTCCCCCAAGTGTTTTTTTTCGTCAATGCCATGCAAGGCTATATGTAAAGAACAATTATGACAAAAATAAAAAAGGAAAAGACAAAATAATACCTACATTTAAACGAAAGGTAAACAAATAGAAAAATAAAAAAGGAAGAAAATAATAATAATTATATATAATATTATAAGGATAAAAAAATAATAGACAAAAATAAAAATTCTGGTTGATTAAGGTTTTTCAGGGATAAAGACAAAATCAAACTTTTGAAAAGATGTATATTAGGAGCACATATGAGGTCATCTGTAAGTTTATTCCGAAGCTACCTATCATGAAATGAGAGACTATTTTTCTTATATACAGTTTTAGCTTCAGGAATATCACAATTCCATTAGCAAGTCTAGTGTTACAGTTTAATTATCTCTGATATAGAAATGGAACATTGAAATTAAAATATTTTGTACATAAAGTAGTTATTTAAGGAATAAGTAAAAAACAAATATTTATATAATTCCTTCGAAATAAATAATGTCAGTCTTACTTAGCACATTGCACAATATGCCAGAATATGGCACCAACAGCAGAATATAATAGCATAAACACAATCAATCATGTGTTAGCTTCAAAGACTAAACTTTAACTACACTTTAATGAAAAGCTGAAATTGATTGAGCAGCCAACACTTGAGTTCACGCAGGGCAATGTATTAGATTAAATTGAAAAATGATTAGAATTACACCAATTTGACAAGCGTTATGTTGATTTTACAAAATACTGGAATTAACTTGAAAAGAAAAAGGATTTTGATTTATCAGTGTATGCAGTCCTTTCTTGATTTTATTTATATTTATTTAATGAGGATAAACCATCCAGCAACTGCTGAATGTTTGGGATCTTACATTTTTTTTTACTTTAAGGTTTGTCTCTTAGAACATTTATAATTGTTATATTATTTGTTTGTAATTATTAAATTAAGTATGGCACGCACTAAGTGCAATAAAGAGTGAGTAAACCAAAATGATGGACTAGAACTCAGGCTATATTATTATTAGTTGTATTTTCGCAAATAATATGTAGTGTTCAGCATATTAAACACTGTCATTAGTCAAAGAGATGAATTTCCATTTTTTAAACTGGACAATAAAATTAGCGGATATAAAATTATGATAATGTTTTTTATACGTATATCTTTTGATGTGTTTGAATAAACAAACCAATCAATAAAAAGTAATTTGATTTTTTTTTTTTTTTTTTTTTTTTTTTTGGTAAGTAATTTTTTTTGGTCAGTAATCAGCATATAGTATTGTATATTAGTTTCTGAATTTGAGATTGTAACAAAGGATTATGTAAATTTCAACTTGGTATATCTAGAAGAAAGGAATCCTGGTCACCTCAAAATTTAGGCTTATGCTTATTATGTGACTGCGTGACAAAGGAAACCATCAATAATTTTGTATTTGATTGTACCAGATTAAAGAACATTAGAACTTTAATATTTGACCAACTTAAAGAGGAGTTATACAAAAAGGATTTACATATATTTTGGGAATTATTCATATCAAGCTCCCCTGAACTTAAATACCATCTTTTGTTTGATGATTTAGAAATCCATTACGAATATCAAATTTTAACAACAAATTGTATTGCAAACCCTATTAATTATACTATTGCGAGTAAAGTTTTCGATAATCATTGTAAATTACTTTTAACGATGGCATGGAAAGAACGAAATGATATATATAATACTTTTCTATTGCAAGACTAATATGTCTGGTTTTAATGTTATTGAATTAAATTTACAATATTTACTATGTTATATGTATATATGTATATGTATGTGTTTGTGTACTGCTGCTTAGACACATCGCGATGTGTATAAGAGACAGCCCTAAGACAGTTTTGTCTCGATCGGC